ACTGGCCAAATCAGCACTATACAGTATTTTAAACAGAACAGATTTACAAATGTTGGGCCATATATTCAGATGGTGTAAATTGATCTAGCTGAATTGCAATCAGTGGAGCTATACAGAGTTATACCAGCTGAACATTTGACACACTGTGACATTTTTATTATGTGAGTACTGTATACTGATGATTTTTTTCTGTAAGTCTCTATAGATAAATAACAAACATGCTGCTGTTTATAGATTGTGTGACTCAATGGCACTTTAATAATAATAGTAAAACAAGAGAATGAATTTTGGACAACAGGGCTGGAAAATAGTTGCACAGCACTAATGTAGCTTGTGGCCAGATTACTTTTCATTGCATAATTTATGGTTTATTAAGTGAAATCAGTTTCTTCTGAAAAGTGATGTATTCTGCATCAGATCTTTGAAGCTAACCATATATCTTGCTGATGAGCTCCAATAAAATAGGAACACAGGGGCTACGTCTAGACTGGAATGATTTTCCGGAAATGCTTTTAACGGAAAAGTTTTCCGTTAAAAGCATTTTCGGAACAGAGTGTCTAGATTGTCACGGACGCTTTTCCGCAAAAGCACTTTTTGCGGAAAAGCGTCTGTGGCCAATCTAGACACGCTTTTGCGCAAAAAAGCCCCCATCGCCATTTTCACGATCAGGGCTTTTTTGCGGAAAACAAATCTGAGCTATCTACACTGGCCCTTTTGCGCAAAAGGGACTTTTGCCCGAACGGGAGCAGCATAGTATTTCCGCAAAAAACACTGATTTCTTACAGTAGGAAGTCAGTGCTTTTGCGGAAATTCAAGTGGCCAGTGTAGACAGCTGGCAAGTTTTTCCGGAAAAGCGGCTGATTTTCCGGAAAAACTGGCCAGTCTTCACACAGCCAGGAAGTCATCTCCTTTGCAGTGCCACCAGGTTTCATTGTAGAACTCAGTTTGTGTGTTTTGTACTGCTTTCTGACTCACAAAAACTCTTTATCCATCATGTTCTTCTTTTCTGTAGATTAAGAATTTTTTTGTCGTTTCTAATTCTTATATTTTGTGTGTACAATGTTTTGTGCTCTATTTCTACAAAAGGGTGAGAAGAAAGGAGAGATTTTTAAATTTGATAACTTCTTTTTTTACCGAGGAAAATCAAACAAATGGGGGCAATTTAATATTTGAAATGGAAAGAAAAAAATGCTTGTATTTTTCAGATGTGCCTTTTTATAAGGTTACCATTTCCCCTGAGGTACGCATGTGTCAGGGAATCTGCCTTAAATAGGTTCTAATGTGCACTGGCAGACTATATCTCAGAAAGAAAAGCAATCTCTAAAAACTGAAGGACTCAGTATTACTATTGAAACATAAACATGAACTCTGCAGATCATCTTTAATATGAATATAAATGCAAGGGAAATTTTATTTTTTTTAATTTCAGAAATGTTCTGTGTGGAATGGTTTTGCGTACTTCTGATATCAGCTTTGTGAGTTTAATGATTGTTTTCCTAATTTCATATTGGCTGTGTCTAGACTGGCAAGTTTTTCCGCAAAATCAGCTGCTTTTGCGGAAAAACTTGCCAGCTGTCTACACTGGCCACTTGCATTTCCGCAAGAACACTGACTTCCTACTGTAAGAAATCAGTGCTTCTTGCAGAAATACTATGCTGCTCCCATTTGGGCAAATCATTTGCGCAAGAGGGCCAGTGTAGACAGCACAGTACCTTTTTGCACAAAAAACCCCCGATGGCTAAAATGGCGATCTGGGCTTTTTTGCGCAAAAGCGTGTCTAGATTGGCACAGATGCTTTTCCGCAAAAAGTGCTTTTCCTTTGAAAGCATTTGCGGAAAATCATGCCAGTCTAGATGTAGCCATTAAGTATAAATGCCATCTTTCATAAATAGCTGAGAAAAAGAAAAGACTGATAAGCTCTTAGGGCATGTCAATCTTCTGTGTTCTAATGTGGACCCATAAACTGAATGCTGAGGGCAGCCCCCAGCAGCATCCAGAACTTCTCATTCTCTCAGGAGGAAGGGAAACAGACAGGAGTGTGGGCTCCTGTCGGCCTTCTGCTGTGTGGATGCTGCCACAGCTCAGCTTAAGGTAAGCATTTTGTGGGAATTGCATACCTTAAACCGACCTGCCTGGTCTAGAATAGACCAGGCCCTAGCGTGGTGACCAAATTTGTTTTTGTACCAATTCACATTGGCTGTTAAGTTTTGTCCAGCTGATTTCTCAATAGTGCTACTTTGGAATCGTAAAATGTTCTTCTAATATATTCAGTGGTTGCATATATAAATGAAGGAGTGCTAAATTTAGTCCCTATTATAATGGAATTTGTAAATTCAATTACATTAATTATCCACTATCTCTGTTATTTCTTTTCTGGCTAATTTACTTGCAGAATGTGAGCACTTCCAAATAATATGCATGTTGTTTATGGCTAGTGTATTTAGCCCATCCTCATTGTGTTTTCAATATATATTCTTCCCGGTTAGGTCTTCAACTCTAATGATGATTGATCATTTGATTTCTATGAATACTTTTATACTTTTCCTCTACTCTCTGACATTTCTGCTGGCTCTCAAGAAATAAATGGAATGTTTTAATATGAGCAAACATATCAAGCATAGCTCTAGGGCTTACTCTGGCCCAAATGAATGGAGAAAATTATTCAAAATGTCAGAGAGTGATCCAGAAGCTTTAGGTTGTTGTATCACAACGTAGGGTTTCTTTTCAAGTAATGTAATTTCACATGGTCTATCCATAATGTTTTCATAATAACATGAATGTGATTTAGAAATAATAGACTGCCTTCCAAGATGCTAATAAAAACAAGGTGTTATTTACAATAAAGTCTAGTAAAGTAAACAATCTGTAAATGGAGCCATGTGAAGTAGGAATGAAACATCAATGTCAAGATTCCATGTACAGAATGTGCAATAAAAGGCTAAATTATTTCAGACTGTTGAATTGTTCCCATGGCGGTGATCAGGAAACTTGGCAAACTCACAGCATGTATTATAATTTAAAGAGTTAGTGTGTGGCTAACATTTTGTTTGGAAGTGCATCCGATAGCAATCTAATATAGTATAACAAGAATGGATTAAGGAAAGGAGGCACATAAAGTTAGTGTCAATGGCAAAGGGGATATGAAATTACTGAGAAACCAAAAAGAAAGGCAGATGTTACCTTTGCCAGCAGTGGAAGGATGTTATGAACTGAAAAACAATATTTAGTGGATGTAATACTGCAAAATAAATTCCACTGCAGCGATTGAAAAGCTGCAATGATTTCATAGTCAACATGCTTTAAAAATGTAACCTGTAAATAGTGTGTAAGATAGCCTAGAGTGGTCTTGTATTCTTTCAGCAGTACGGATTTTTGTCATCGTGCATGTAGCTTCAATTTTATGAAAATAAATCATTTGACTGGATGGTCAACAGAATATTTGCTTGTATTTGCCCTTCAATTAGCTTGTGAAGCAAACCAACAGTTCTGTTACCTTGTATGATTTCTTATAATTTAGGGGAATATTTGTGTACCCTATAGGGCTAACCTGCTTGCTTGCCTATAGCTATATAAATGTATTATTCCTTATGGTTTTGATTATATGTTCATTATAATACCTTATGTTAGTTTTATATTGGCAGTTTGGCTGTAACACAAGAGACTTACAGGCCATGTCATGTATGTTGAGCTAAGACAAAGTTAGTATTTTTTCTGGAACTTTTCACTCAGATAGCACAGTTCGCTCACATATGTTCAGGACCTTTTACTTAGATAGATGATGATAAGACAGGGTGACATTACTTGGTGTATGGGCTTCCAAGAATACCCTCAACCCTCAACAGATACATCACTACTTAGAAAAACCCAAAATAATCAGTTGGGACCAGACCAAATAACCGGGTAGTAGAAAAATAATAAATATGATAGACAACCACAAAAGGCCTATGGTAACGAATTGACACATTAGATAATATGTTACGATCAATGATATACTGACCTATTAGAAAAAAACACTTCACTGTTAGTAAGGTGAGAAAATACAAATAAGGAGAAGAGGAAACATCCCCTATTGAATATTCATCAAACATAACAATGTCAGCATAACAGTATAAAAGTGGCATTCCAGTCTACGGGTGGTAGGAGAAGGAGATGTAGTCCTTGGGAGGTGCCAGAATGATAGCCACTGGCAATGATGGGGAAGGTGCAGGAGATGAGGAAGATGATGGCTTACACCTCGAATCGTTCTAGAAGGAATGGTGTGAGTATATGGCATGGAAATTTAGATGTACATTCCCTATTTATGATGGTGTTTATGACTGCTAAATGTATTAATAAATTATATTTGCAAATTATAAGAGTTCCTATAATGTGCGTGTTGCATCTGTGCACATCAGGGTTCACAATAATAGAATAAATGAATACTGGGCCTGATCCTGGGACAAAGGACCTATCAATCCTAAAGATGGTACCTGAAAATTCATAAGCAATCTTAGAGCAAGCAACATTTTTGTAAAGTTTTTCATCAACTCCGAATATTATTTTGAATAATAAAGATTATCAAATATCTGATGGCAAGCATGGTGCTTTTTCTAAATATGTAAAATATGAAAAGAAAAAAAAAAGACAAAAATATATCTGTAATTCGATGTGCTTTTTAAACCATGTGTTTACTGGCAAGAGCAATTGGTACACGCTGATAGTTAATATGAATTAAAATATAGGGATATAAAATTTTACAAATTCTTTCAGTAGACTTTTTCTGAAATGTTGAGATAGTTAATCAATAACTATAGAGAGACTTGTTATTGTCAGCAGTAAAAAGAAAAAAAAAAAGGTTGTAAGTGAAAAGCCAGAAGAAAAACTATATTCATAATGGCAAAGTTTTAGAAGTTTTCAAGACTTCACATAAAGATTGATTCCTCCGTTTGTCACATGAACAACCAGTTTATCAAAATCAGTTCATCAGTAACATGTTCTATTCAAAATTCATTTTTTTCTAGCACCTGCCTCCTCCATTACCCAGCAAAACTCCACCACCGCCTCCTCCAAAGACGACTCGAAAGCAAACATCTGTTGACTCTGGGATTGTCCAGTGAACAAGAAAGCATTTCTCCAAAGATAAAGCTGTAATATTTCATTTTCCTAAGTATTTTAAGGTATATAATGTTTACCTCATTCAGGCCTGCTATGTCTAACATTTAGTGCAATGATTATAATTCTGAAAACAACTCATTTGTAACAGTAAATCAATTTTCTAAGCAAATCATACCACTGGAATTAAAGCTGTCACAAAATAATGGTAATCTATTGCTTGGGAGGAGCCTGTGACCTATTTTCAAAGCAAGGGGATATTTGTCAGCTGACAATATACTATTCCCTAGTCCAGAAAATGTTGCTTTGTCATTTCAAACTACTTAACAGAAAATAGAAATTTATACTGGTGTGTAAAATGACAGTTGGGAACTAAGGGCCTGATCACAACACCAGTGGAAGTCAGTGCAAATACTCACATTGATTTCAGTAGGCATGGGGTTGGGCCTAATAACAATACTAAGAAGTAGCATTATGACAGCTTCAAAAATAAACATGTTCAGCATATCATACATTCCGAAACCTGATTATTCCTGTAGTTTTTAAACTTTGCTCTGTGTTATAAATAATATTTTCATGAGGCTTTTTTTTTAACTTTAATTAGTGGCTGGCCATTCTCCTTCTGTCTAATACAATTTTAAATAAGATAACTTTTTAGCAATTGAACAGGTGCTAATTTATAGGACAAGAAACCAAGTAAACAAATACGGGACCCGATGTGATTCTAAAACTAAACAGTTGAACAAAAGACCAGGAAGAACTTTTTTTAATGTGTAATATTTTAGGAGGATTAGGACAAATTGAATGTTATCTTTTTGTCCCTGTGTCATCATTCTGTACAGAAGTTTGTATATATGATGGTTCTTAGAATGTTTTTAATTTTTGCTGCCTGTTTTTCATGTAATAACAATTTAATGTATCTGCAAATGATTCTTATATGTTTTTAATTTTAACTGCTGAACGTGTATAAATAGCTAACTTTTTTTTCAGAAATTGGCATCTGAAAATATTGGACAATGATAAGGAAAGACAAAAGGAAGCTAACTTTTTTTTATTCCTCAATGTTTTGATTGCCTTCACACTATATTATTTTTACATCACTGACTCCAAAAATAAAGGATTATTTTAAAAAAAGATTTGACTAAGAAAATTAAATGCATTACTTTATATATTTATCATCCTTTCAATGGAAGTGTTATTAATTTTGGGAGCTGTTTTAATAAATGCCTGTACTTTTAATTTTCTGAAAAGTAGATTTATAACAAGAATAATTTGTAACTGCCTCTGATATATCCAACATCCCTATTCTTATTATCTTATAGTTACATAACTTGTTCATGATGTTTATATATAGTGTTGAAATAAATATGAATTTCAACACTGAGGGTGCATCTTTTATATGCCATTCACACTGCAGTTGACAGCCTATTTCAATTTTAATACAATTGTTGTATAAACAGCACATAAAATAGCTTAGTTTTACATGGCACTTTAATGCTTACTTGGTGTCTACCAGATAAAAATAAAAGGCAGAGGCATGACTTATGGAGCAGTAAAGCAACAAATTCATTAACTGTGCAGATAGTCCTTGTCACTCTAACAGCTTAACTGGTCAGATAAATATGCAAATTATTTTGCCTTTAAGCACCATGTAGTTTTGGATCATAACCAAGCATTATTGTTACAACAGAAAGAATTTCTCCGTACAACTAAACCAAACTTCTATAATGCAAGTTACAAGTTGTCCTTACATTCCAGTTCACTTTTTTAATTAATATGTTGTTTGAGTCAAGGCATTGAAGCAGAAATGATTCCAGGCTATAGTCAATCAGAAAAGGTTTGGTTTGGTTTAGGTAATGTAAAATTTAAATTGCAGATTTTTTTGTTTGTTTGTTTTGTCCCTGCTCTGGTTTTAAGTAACTGTGCTGAAGTCTCCTAAATGTTACTGCATATGGTAATTTTTACGGTCATTTTAATTCCACTTAATTTCAGTTAAGAGCTGGCCTCAGAGAGCCAAATTTTCATCTGGATCTTTACACAGTAGGGATGTTAAGACGTGTGTAATTCACTAATAGTGTAGTCCATAAACATTTTGTGGAGCACGTGATCAGTCAATAAGGGACATCACTCAGTCCCAGCTTATGCCATGTCCAGCAACTACCCCCCTCTGTGGTTCTGCACTGAAAGTAATTTAGGACCCAGGCAGGCAGGCAGTCTAGCTCAGTCTGCTCACACCAAGTCCCGGGAGCTACATCTGCTGCAGCTCTGCATGCAAACTAATTTAGGTGCCAGGATTTGGTGGTAGCTCCCAAGACCCAGTGTGAGCCAGGACTGAGCTGGGTTGCCTGCCCACCTGGCTCCTAAATTACTTTCCCTGCAGAGCCACAGTGGGGGTAGCTCCGGGGATCCAGCACCAACCAGGACTGAGTCATGCTGCTGGCCAGCCTTTTAAAAAATTAACTTTTGTGAGGGGGGAAAGGAGGGATGTGTGTAGTTGAGAGCATTAACCAATAAGCTTTTGCTTATTGGTTACTTGTCTACACTATTACATCCCTATTACACAGCCTCTACTTGTTCACATGTGAAATTTCATACAAGTGCTTGTGTATACTTTTTGCAGCAACAAATACTTGTACTTGCAATCTGCAAATTCTAATATTTGTGTAAATGTTAGGATTTGGTCCTACAAGACTATTTAGGACAAGTAAAATTTGCAGTCATACATGGTTCTTGCAGTATGACTAGTGCAAATTCTAACACTTGCACATATATTTATATATGTATCCACAGCTTTGCAGACACATAGGTGGAGTTTGAAAATCAGGCTTTTGAAACCCGATTACTCACTGTGTTTATTACCCAAAAGTTTCTAGTAACTTATGCAAAACTCAGCAATCAAGAATTCCTCTTCTCACCACATTATTGCTGATAAATTACATTTCATCAAGTTCAGGAACTCATCCAACAACAACCCCATTACCCATTGATCATGCTGGTAGGATTGCCATTTTCCCAGCAGTATAAACTCTTGCTTCACACTCTAGCGATGTTGCATTAGAACATCCAAATGAAATGCGAGAATACTATATTTTTAACAAAAAAATTGCCATTTTCTAGTATCAAGAACTGAAAGACATTTTGTAGGCTTCAGAATTGATTTCAGGATCTGTGAGCTGCATTCAAACTCTCATTGCAAGGTGTCAGTTCACCATGATAAAACCAAGATGATCCTAAAACTACTGGGCCAGCTGACAGCCCTCTTAATAGTGGTGAGAAATGTAAAGGTCCTGATCATGTTCCCATTAAAGGTAATGGTTAAATGCTGATTACCTTCAATAGGATTGAAACCAAAATATAGGTTTTCATTGGTGTTTTTCCATCTTCACTTATTTCAGTATCAGGATAAGGAAGAGTCCACCATGTTTTGCTTCATACAAGTTATGTTTCCCAAGAATTTTATGGCTAAGTGTGGGATTGTACTACCTAAGAAAATTGGTGCAACTTTGAAGGAAGCTATTACGTGATGAGCTACTTTTAACCAAATTTAATGACATAAGTCAGTTTTAATATAAGCATTTGATGCAATGAGATGAAATAACTATAAATAAGGGTTTTATAAAGATTACAATTCAATATTTAAATCTGCTTAGACCATTTTAATAGCCCTATGGTAATCTGGGAGTCATCCCATTATGTTTCAAGTGATATGGTGCTTAAACTCAAGAGTTTTGGATGCTATTGAGCAAGACAAAATAAAAAAAATTCCAGGGAGAGATCATGGAATGTTAATCTCTTACCAAAATTAATTGGTTTTATAGATATGGAGGAAGAGGCATTTGCTCTATCACAAATTCTCCTTGGCTTTCCTCCTCTGTTACAAAAACTGCACCTGCCCTTTGTTCATGATGAAAATCCTTCTGCCTTAATTTTGTATTTTGAGCTATTTTTTATTCTCTTGTAAAATTCTCCATTCCCTCAATTTACAAAATATTACAGGCAGTCCCCAGGTTACATACAAGATAGGGACTATAGGTTTGTTCTTAAGTTGAATTTGTATGTAAGTCGGAACTGGTTCATATTGTAGAGCTCACTTTTATTCTCCCACACCTCATTTCCCTCAGTCCTTTATTCTCAAGCTGAGGTGTCTGCTGAGAAAAGCCGCTCCGCGTCTCCCTGGTCTGCTGGGGAGGGGGGGCGCTAGCTTCGCGTCTCCTTGGTCTGCTGGGGGGAAGCAGCTAGTGCGGGGTTGCCTCACCCCATTTGTAAGTAGGGATCCGATGTAAGTCGGATCCATGTAACCCGGGGACTGCCTGTACATTAATTTTATTTTCATGTAGTTTACCCATTTTTATTGTGCCATTTGATATACACTTCTGATAATGTATCTGTTCTATACTTTTAAATTCCATGAAAAGTATAACTGCCACATGTACATGTTATAAATACAACAACCACACATTTTGTGGATCAGTTTGGGCGTGGGACCTTCCTCGGGTAGCTCTGAAGGAAGGGGATGGCTTCACAGGAGGCTCCATCCCACTCTCAGTTCACAGGGAGAGTGGAGAATTTACTTTAACATTTAATTGCCATAGGACAAAACTGTGACTTTGGAAGGTTCTCTTGCCCCTGAGCTGCTGGCCACTTTGTGCTAGGACAAGATAGTGTCCTGTATTTAGAGAATTAAAAAAATTAAAGCATTTTTTTCAATTTACATCCAGACCATATTCTGCTGATAGGTGCTACAAATTGTACTCCATAGAGAACATACGCATAGAGCTTGCTAGATGTGAATGTGTATGTGTGTTGAAAAGCCTATTTTAAGGTGTGTTTTTTTTCTTTATCTTCAGGCTTTCAGCATGAATATAGTACATTATAGCTGCGAGGTCCAGTTGCTCTGACATTTCAATTTCCTTTCATTCCAGTTTTGTATTTTTCATGGATTTAAACTTAATTTCAGGCTTACAATTGCCATTTTTTCTGGTGATGCTGAAGAATGGAGGCTGGGGAATAAATAACCTCTTAGTAAAAGGGAACTAGCTGCAGTAATACAGTAGCTATTTTGCAGTAATACCATTGACTGTGATTTTAATTCTTTCCTGGTTTTCCAAACACTCCTCATGAATATACTGCAGACTTCAGTAATTACTGTAAATGAGATATGTCCATCAGAAAGTGAAATGCTTTCTGTAGAGATTATTTCTTTTCCAATTTCTAAAATGTAACTTTCTTCATATTATAGCATACATATACTATAATATTGAACTCCAGAATCAATGAAAAAAGCTGAATTAAAGAAATTGCCTCTGATTTAGTCAGAGAGGGTTTTGAAGGACTTGCATGAACTCATGGGTTCCTCAGGCTCTAGTCATTAAAAGATCACCCGGTGGGACCTGGCCTGGCCATGGACTACATAAAACTCTGTTTTGCCAAGCTACTTCTACTTTTTTATTCATGTATGCTATCCTACATAACTGTTGGAGTCTAAGCAGGTTGTCTGGAGAAGGGCTTGATTTCAGGGTAAATATACTTGTTATGCTTTTGGGGGGAACTGGACAGTGATATTCTGCCTTTGATGTAATGGTGTTACAC